GCGATTAAAATTTGATTAATTGCACAGCCTTAGTCACATGCTGCATGTTCTGCCTGTGACTATGCCGATTTGATTTATGTATTTATTTTTGGGCAAGTAAGAAATGTACATTCTTTTACAATGGAACACATAACATTAATGAAATCAGAGCAGAAATAACAACAACAAAAAATTTAAATAAATAAATAATTTCCTCAAAAAGGAGTGGGAAGAAGAAAACTTATATAATCCCACAATGAGCTTTCTTTTGAATTTTTCAGACATTTTACATTAAACTATATGAACTATTTACAAGTGCGGACAAAGAGTCACTGCATGACCCTGTCAAATAAATAAATAATATCAATAAATAAATGTCACACAAAAGCAGCAAAAATCGCAAAGACTTGTCGAATAAGACACAAATAGATTTACATACACACACAGAGAGAGATAGTTTATTGATCCTGAGGGAAATTCAGTGTATAAGTGTAATAAATTAGTAAATGTAAAAAAGATCCGGGCTGTTTACACGAGATGGTGGGATTAGGACACAAAACATGAAACTCCTTTTCCCTGTAGAGTTTACTGTAAGTGGGGCTGTAAGTCTTTTAGTCATTTCGTTTATTTTTGTATTCGTCGACTAATCATTTTATTTAGACGAGAAGAATTTTTTCAGCAGAAAGGAGAAGTGAGTGAGTAAGTGAGCTGAAAATTTTGTATTTTTTGGTGTTAAAATGTAAAAGTCACAGGTTGTATTTGTCTTTTTATAAATACATTGTTTCCTTGTACTTTTTTCTGCATAAATAGTAGTTTTGGCATGACCTCCCCCTGCAGGTGTAGTGTTGCGAGTGCAGTTTGAGTCACACACACAGAGATACGTAATCGTTTCGAGCGCTTTGACCACTTCCCCTTTTTATTCAACTAATTGATCAACAGGACGTGTCTTTAGTCACCTACAGAACTAACGTAAATTGCACACTTGTAGAGTGAGACGTGTGCAGTGACAGCATCTTTACTGCCAATACATAATGTCTAGTGTGGTGTGTTCACTTTGGAATTGTCCCATTTCCTCATTTTTAAAGACTTGACGACGGTGAGGAACAATCATGTGACCAAAAGTGTCTGAGAGGATTCTATAGAAGATCATGCTGAGAAACTGATTGTAATGATTAGGCAATTTCCTGTCGTGTAGTTATTCTGGTGTGCTGGGGTTGTTTTACTGTATGTGGACTCTGGACTGTGAGTGACCTAAGTTTAGTTTGGCCACAAGAGGGCAGAGCAGAGACAAAACCGAAAACTCTAACGTCATGGCTCATTTATTTTAACGAGGCAGCAAAACAGAAGCAGTAAAAACAGACAATAGTGTAACTTTTAGTCACTTTTTCTTCATGCTTTTCTCTATGGAGATGTTCTTGCTTTGTCTGGAATGTTCCATGGGATGGTATTAAGCCTTTCTGTCATTATGGAAACCAAACCAGACCGAATTACAGGTCAGATCTGTGGAGAGGCGACCCCGCTGACAGTCAGAATGTCTGCTTTTCTAGGTATTGCTGAGCTGTAAGGTAAGGTGTTTAATCAATCAATCAAACTATTTATAAAGCGCTTTTCATACAAAAAAAGTTTTACAGTGAAAAAAAACAATCCTACATTTCCTTCCAGCCACCTATCCAACCTCCACAGCTGCCTGACACCACACAACCAAACAACCCAGACACACACACATGCACACACACACACACACACACACACACACACACACTAACATGCTAAAATATAAAAAATATACATAGTAAAATGTGAGACTGAAACACCGGAAATCCTAAAAATGATAAAGAAATATGAGTTCAAGCTAATAATATACCTAAAATAAATAAATATAATAAAATATGTATAATAAAAACAAGTAAAAGTATGAAATTTCAATCTAAAACTAAGCTAAAAAGGTGGATCTTGAGCCTCCTCTTAAAAACATGAACATTGTCTTTGGCCCTGAGCTCCTCCTTCAGGCTGTTCCACAGACGACAGCCGTTGAACTGGAAAGACGCCTCTCCATGAGTGTGTCCTGACTTTGGGAATGACCAGGATCCTGCTGCTGGAGGAACGCAGGGTCCGTGAGGGCTCATAGGGTAAAAGCAGTTGTGAAAGATAAAAAGGCCCAAGACCTTTAGACATTTAAAAAACAGTAAAAGAACTTTTAAAATCGATCCTGAAACTCACAGGGAGCCAATGCAGTGATTGTAAAACGGGTGTAATGTGGCCCTGCCCTCTGGGCCTCGTCAGGACACGTGCTGCTGAACGTTATAAGAACGGCAAACCTGAAATACTCATTTCGGGAAGATCTGTGGGACATTCCAGTCAGAGCAATGACAGCTCCATAGAAACAAGCAGGTGACCTCCAAACAAAAAGTTACACAGTGCACCTTTATGGTCACTGATGGATGCAGGATTTGTGGTGCTTGATGAAATAAAACACAAATTGAAATTGTTAGTTTGTGATTTTTTGTTTTTTTTGTGCAATTCTGTAATATGTGCATTTTTTAAAAATTGTATTTGGTCTATTAATATCTTAAATGTGTGCTGATCTCAAACTTGATAGTACTCTTTATAGTTAATAGTACTCTTGTCATTCCTCATTTACTCTGCTCCTGGTGGGGGTAGGTTTCTTCTGTTGCCTCAGATGCCCTGGAGTAGACTGACTGGAATGAGACAGTTCATCTTAATCTGCACCCCTGCACATTTCTCTACTGTTGACACTTGTGTGACGTTAAAAATGTGTTTTATTGAAACGTTGCGTGGCCTAATGCCTAAAGCTACAAGTTTATTTGATTTTTTTCACCAGTAGATGTTCTCCCTCCCTTCACCTGACCCCTCTCCTGCCCTGTCCATTGGAGCTGGAACTGAACCACCAACTCATCATATTCTTTCTTTTCTGTTTGCTTGTAAACACACATGTTAAGATGATATAAAAGTGTGTCAGTGGGAGAAAGGTCGAGTCACATCATTCTTCTATAAATCCCACTGTCACGTCCTGCTCCTCTGTGCACTCACATTTACATGTGCTTGGCCTGCTTTCTCTCTGCTTTAAACTTTATATTTGTGTTCTTGGAAAGTGTTTGGAGCTTCCTCACAGCTGGACTTCATCTTCTCAAACATCTGGACGCACATGTGTCCTCCTCCACATGTGGGTTAGATATTCCAGCTCAGATCTGAAGCTTTGTGTCAGAAAGAGTCAAAGACGAGCTGTATTTTGTCACTCAGGACTGAACACTGGACTTTTATCTTTAGATTAAAACCTCATGTCTTAAAGTCTGTGCTATAATTCTGTCACATTTTCCATTGCTAGTGTATTATATTTAGGTTAGGTTCATTTTAAAGCTTTTCTAATTTAAATTTTGGTGGTTTGTGGTGATATTAGGGATTCACGGATATCAAATACCAGTACCCAGTGTCTGATATCAGTATCAGAGATTGGTGCAGATAAAGAAAAATCTAGATCAAATATTGGTTCAGCCATTATCCTGATTGGTCATATAAATTACTGTAATAAGACTATTTACTGGTCATAGTCGGCCCAAAAAGTCTCGGTGTCAAACTGAGAAAGTTGTATTACGACATTTAGGCCGTTATATAAAAAGGGCTTTTTACAGTTTATAATTATAATGATTCTCCTTCATAAACCTTCCTGAAGTTGCATTTTGTTTCATTCTTACTCAGTGATCTGAACTGTAACTGCCACAGAAGTTCTAGGTCATTGTTAGTACATGTTAGGGGAGGGCGATATCTCGATATTTTAAATATATTGTGATATTTTTTTAACTTGATATGGTTTTTGACATATCGTATATATCGATATAATGCTTATATTCAATTCTGATTTCACCTCTTCGCTTGTTTCCTTTCTCTGTTGATGCGCCCCTGCGCCCCCGCCTCCCTGATTTTGCTGCTTGTGTCTCATTCACTCCTCAATACTGCCGAGAATGAAGAAAGTTGGTGCCAGTGAAAAGCTTCTAGCACCACGAAACCTTTTCCACCATTTACAGACAAAACCATCAGCAGCACATCCTCTGTCACAGAGAGAACACTCATATGAACACTGAGTCGTGTCCTTTAGTCTGAAAGAAGCTGACCCGCACGAGCGGCACAAGAAGCGAGCTATATATGCTAATTAGCCATGCGCTTTTAAGTTTTGTTTCTGTAAAATGTAAACACGTGTACAAAACTGCATTAAACACATTATAATCTCAGATGGTCTGATGTGGTTCTAGAGTCATTATGGTTTAAATGTTGTAAAGTTTAGCAATGTAAAGTTTATTTATGCAGACGATTTTAATGAATAATCTGCTGCAGTGTCACTTGTACAATAGTGTTTAGAAATGTTGGGTTTGATCTGCAGTGGATTGTGGGAAACCTCAGAGCTCCTTACTGCTGGATAGGAACATGAGTCTTTTAAAATAATGATCCTTCCGAGTCCCGAGCTTCCTCTGCTAAAGGAGCTCATGGTTGTCGTGTGGTTACCAGAGTTGATGCAAAGATGAGCTTGAGTTGAGTTGTTTTATTTATGAATTAAAAGAAGAAAAATCTGTATTATTTGTTTTATTTTACAGTTAAATTATTATTTATGTAATCAGGGATTTTTTGTAATCTTAAATGCGACAGAAGCACTTTGTTCCTATATGAACTGTCTGCCTCTTGCACTTCAATAAAAAAAGACATTGTGGAATTTGGCAGATTTGTTTTTGCTGGAGTTTTTGGGGGGTTATTTTTCCTGTACAGATATCGAGATATATAACATATATAGAGATAGAGCAAAATATATTGAGATATATTTTTTACTCCATATCTCCCAGCCCTAGTACATGTACTTTTTGTCTGATGTTGGCTGCTGAGCCCTTTTGAATCTTATTCTCTCTTTTTTAACCACATTTTATCCACACATTTGCTGAACAGTATTTCAAAATAGACAAATCAAAAGACAAAGCCTAAATTGTACATTAAATATATTTATGGTGTTCTTTCAGACGCTGACAGGGGGCGCTCTCATCATGTCCTCTGCTGCAGTGAACCGCTCCATCAAACAGGAGAGGAAAGGAAGCTTCTTCAAGGTATTTACCCACACATTTACAAACACAGTTGTATTCGAATCATCTAATCATCTAAATGCAGTGATTTTGACGTGTGTGAATTCTTACTGATCAATGAATGTGCCTCCAGGAGCATGAACATTAGAAAAGACTGAAATCTGAACTTATAAACTCATCTCATTTCTGCACTAAAAGTAAAACTACAGGTAGAACAAGATTTATCAATAGAAAATCTGAAAATTCTTTGCAGAGGACATTCTATTGGCTAAATAATTGCTGCCTTTGTGATTTGATAATGGTGACATATGGTGCAGCCCTACAGTGTGTGGATTCTGGAGGTTCTGAGCTTTCACATGAGGCCTGTCCATAAACTGAGAATGAGACAAATTTCCTCTATCTGCAGGTTAAGTCTCTGCTGCTGTCTCAACATTGGTTCTGCTGTGATTGTAGTCCATCCATCCATCTTTTTCCACTTATCTGGGGCCGGGTCACCTAATGTTGTGATTGTAGTAACTTTATTAAACCACTAAGAGCTCAGGCTACATACAGTCCCTTTAAACTGCCCAGGCACCACCTTCTGCGTGAACAAAGGGTCTGGGTTTGGGTGGGGGCAGCAGTAGATTACAGACTGAGGAGAGGTGGAGTCACTTTGTGGTTTTGGACGCATTTATTTGGCTATTTTTAACTTGAGACTCTGCAAATGTAACAGAACACTGTATGTTAACAAAATCAGACTCTGTTCACCCAGAAACACGACTCATGCTTCATTGTTGCTGTGCTGGAGGATTTCACCTGTTGTGCATGTTTGGGGTTGATGGATTGATTTGGGTCACACACAGGGAGAACATGCAAACTCCACACAGAAAGGCACAAGAGTCAAACTTAGAACCTTCTTGCTGTGAGGCGAGAGTGCTAAACAGCATTCTATCTTTAGCATGAATTCAGTCACAGGTGCATTCGCACTGTGAGCAGATCTGATTTGTGACCCCACATAGCGTCGTCACCTGCTTTCTACTGAGTGAGATACCGTTTTTTTTGGACTATAAATCACGCCTTTTTCATGGTTTGGGTGTTTCCTGCGACTTATACTCCGGTGTGACTTATATATTAACGTTTTCACACTGACACCTGCGAGAGGCTCTAGGCTTGTGTGTGAGTATCTAGTACTACAATTACTCTCGTACCACTGTTACTTCACTTATGTCTCCTGTAGAAAAAAGCCGCTGTCTTGCCGCAAATAGTGAAATATTCAGCCGAAAACGGTAATCGAGCAGCAGAAAGAAAGTTTGGAATGAGCGAGAAACTTGTGAGGGACTGGTGGAAAGCAGGGATGGAGAACACAGCTTCACGGCAACTGAGAGGATGCACCATGAAACTTTCCTGAAAGTCACTGGATGAACAAAACCTGAACAATCAAAACCATCCTGTCGGGATTCACAAAGGCCAGAATAATTCTAACTGGAACTGATGCTGAGTCTGACGACAGCGACACAGAAGAGGAAGTGGCGCTCTGATTACATCATAGATCTATGGTTTATCTCTGGAGGTCGCGCAGAAATGACACAGAGGATGAAGAATTGAATGGATTTAGTGATTTGGAGTGAGATTGTGAGTTTGGTAAACTGTTACGTTAACATATTAACGCCTATTCAGCCTGTTGTTCTCTATTCTGTTGTTATTACTATACTTTCCTTTCAAGATGAAATGTCGGTTCCTGATCTCTGATTTTATAAAATACATTTCCCCAAAAAGTGCGACTTTGAGTCCGGTACGACTTATATATGTTTTTTCTTCTTTATTGCGCATTTTTTGGCTGGTGCAATTTATACTCTGGAGCGTCTTATAGTCCAGAAAATACAGTAGATAAGTTTAATGATGCCGTCATACTGCAGAACATTTCAGGCAAAGCAATAACATCTCCATGGATACAAGCAGGTGACCCTCCCTCCACCAGAAAAGTGACGTCGTGCACCTTTAAAGTTACACTGACCCAGTCATAATGCTGAATGTCTTTTCTGTGAGTCAGACGTGTGGTTTTGTCCCAGATCTGGAGCGGCCGTCCCAGGTCTGAACAGGTCCTTTGTGTGAACTGTTGACTCGGGGCTTTAGTTTAATGACACACAAAGACACGTGACCGGCCGGAGCTTTAAACTGACACAGGAACACTTAGAACCTCTACTCCTGCTTATTTAAGGAGTTTATTAGGGCAGGATTTGAATTATTTGAGTGTTTTTATCTTTTTAATTAATGATACATTTGTTTTTTATTAGATTTGAATTGTTTTTTTGGTTTTAATGAAGACTGGCAGGTTAGTTAGTTTATTAAAAAGTAGTGTATCACCGTCACCTGCATCATGCCATGAAAATACAACACATACATCCAAACATTCTTCGTGGAGATAGATCCGTTTGATGAACATCAGCAGGAGGCTAAATAAGCGTCAGGTTTGTGGAGTGGAAGCACGCTCACAGTACAGATGCATTTGTCATGTTTATGGCCCTGAAAAATATGGAGTTGTTCCTCTGGCTATAATATTCCACAGTACGGCATTACACGTATCAGCCTCCATGGGGTCATTCCACCTCAATTCACCCCCAAAAAATTGCAATTTGAACTCACATTGTCCAGTTGCAAAGTAAATTGGTGTATGGGTGAGTCATAGCCAAGAAAGCCAAAATCTCAAATTTTAGCATGATTGGACCAACGGTTTCCGATGTTGCAGTTTCATTTTTTCACTTTTTTGCTTGTTCGCCAAATTTCAAATTGCATTTACTCAGCAACTACTGTTCTGATAAAACAAAACAAAAACAAGGTATCTCTGGAAAGGGGACATCATTAGGTTTTTTTTTTAATTTTTGCATTTGAGATGAATTGAATGACTTTTGAGATGAATGACCTTTTGACCTATATTTTGACCTTGAAACTGACAATAAGAGACATGCCCAACCTCAATGACACCAACAGAAAAAATGTAGCCCTATATGTCTACTACAACATGTACAAAATCTGGAGGGTTTTTCTGTTTTATTTTCACACAAATTTACCTAGAACTTGAAGCGATATCTTGGAAACAGTTGGTCCAATCAAACTAAAAATTGAAATTTTTACTTTTCTGGCTATGACTGACCAAGTTTCATCAAAATTTGACAAAGTAGGGTTTAACTCATTGGGTGAACTGAGGTGGACTGACCCCATGGAGAATGTTCCAAAGTATGTGTACGGTAACTTTCTGTTTCCTTGGAATGATGCAGGTGACAATTTACATACTGTACCTTTAAAAGAAGCATTGATGTTTTGATTATTTGAATTTAACTAAATAACACTGAAGTGTTTAGTTTGTATCTGTAATGATCCTAGATGTTAGTGCAGTCCTTTACAACTCAAAACTCATCGGAGAACAGAAACAGAACAAATAATACCCCATGTGGACGTGGTTTAAGTTCAGTTTAATGACACTGGTTCTGTTTAAGTGTTTGTGTCGCAATCAGATCACACCATTTGATCTGTGACAGCACTTTGTGTTGCTTTCATTTACTCTTTGATTTTACAGTAATTTTAGCTCTGTTCTTAGTTTCTTTCTGATAAACTTCCCCAAAATGACTTCATTTTGTAACAGATTTGCAACACTGCAAATTTTACTTTTAATTTTAAGTTATCTTTCAATGGAAACGAGGGCTGAGCTATTTAGAAAAATGATCAAATAGTTTTTTTTTTCTGTTTGAAGCTTTATGATTATATTTGTTACCTCCGCCAAGGAGGTTATGTTTTTGCCGGCGTTTGTCTGTTTGTTTGTCTGTTTGTTTGTCTGTTTGTTTGTTTGTTTGTTTGTTTGTTTGTCTGTTAGCAACATAACTCAAAAGTTATGGACCGATTTTGATGAAATTTTCAGGATTTGTTGGAAATGTGAAAAGGAAGAACTGATTTCATTTTGGGGCTGATCCGGAAGAAATCCTGGATTCTGGATCACTTTGAAATTTTTGTTAACATTGTGGTAAATGGGGCCAAAAATTTTGTTTCTCAATATCTCGGTTAATTATTGACCAAACCCCATGAAATTTGACTCAGGGATGGACAATGGGATCCTCTTTCATATTCCAAAGGCTGATCCGGATCTGATCCAGAAGACTGATTTTATCGCAATTTATATAAAAAATGGGGGTAGTCCTTGGCGGAGGTCTGCGCTCTCTGACTGCTTTTCTAGTTTTAATAATAGGATTCTGTTCAAAGTTCATGTTTTAAACAAAGAACTGACAAAAAGAACTGAACTGACAAAGGAAATTGTGTTTCTTCAGACTTTGAGATTTGATAAGTGATTTGATAATTTATTACAGTTTGATTGTGATTCATATTGCAACCCGAATAGAAACAATGAAGTTAATTTTTTTAAACTTGAATTCACCTAGGCTAGTACTAACGGGAAAAATAGACTGATATATTGGTTGGCTGATTTACTGGGCCGATATTTTTACTTTTTAAAGTATCGGCCTTAAATCTCCAGCACAGGCCAATATTTTGTTTTGGTCAGTCTGCTGCCTAAAGTCCACACAAAGCTTTATGTGACCGCACAGTTCTCTTATAGGTTTATGGTAAAAAAAAAAAATTATACTATAAATCTATAGTTTATAGTAAATTTAAATTGTATAATTTGAGGAAAATAATCAGCCCCACATATCAGCTCAAAAATATCGGCAGAGCTTATTGGCCGTCGGTTGCTCTGGATCCTAAACAATCGGTATTGGCATTTGCTGTGGAATTATCCATATCAGTCGATCTCTTAACTATTTGCAGATTATAATTTTGTATTTTAATACTGATACTTTGAAACTTATAAGGCACTACTCTGTCAGAAACTTTATTAGACTTAAATATGATCTTTATGTTAACTCAATCTGATCATAAAAATCTGACTTTGTGCTGTTTAGCTCAAATAACATCAGTCATAAGCTTGCTACCATTAGCCAACAGTTTTTCAGTTAGTCTCTCACCTTTTTGTTCGAAACTCAAACTCCTAAACAGGACCATGAGCTTTTATTGCTCACAGGCTCCTGAAAATGTGCTATTTAAATCTATTTTTACTTGCACTTTCAGACAAACTTAAAACTTTTTTAACAGTGTTTGTTAAGGTGCACTGTGTCTCCATGGTAAATGCTAAATATTCCACCACAGAGACTACGTAGAACACCTCCAGCTTGATGTCACTGCAAAGTTTCAATCTTCAAAGTATGAATTGTATTGGATTTCAAAAGCTAACCATGAAACCATTGTGTTATATTGGAAATGTCGTTGCAAATACTTTACATTAACCCGTCTTTTTCTTTTCCCCTTCCAGCTCATCGAATCGTTTGCCGTTGAACTTGGAACGTTAAAGAAGGAGATGGGACACAGGTCTGAGCCTAAACCCGCTGACCCTCTACTCTCTGAGCCACTGAGGTGAGTGCACCACAAGGGGGGCGCTGTTACTTAGATGTACACATACAGTAGTCTTGTCACAATACTAAGATAAAATACTATGATAATGATAAAAAACACTCTTTTTTTAGACAATAGACTGTGATTTTCAACATTAAATGGTTGTACTTTCTCTTCTATTCGCATGTGTCCTTATATATGTGTAATCCCACAGTGGTCCAGGTAGATTCCATAGTGGTTCATGGGTGTATACTAGTCTATGATGTGCTCTTATACTTGTTCTGATAGAGCTCAACAACGTTCTAAACACAGTTCAGAAAAGCTTCATTTTTGTCCTGTGAATGTGATTTTTTTTGTATTCAAACTTGTTTAAATTAGTATATAGTTTCGATACTAGTTTGTGTATCAATTAGTATTATTATTTTCGATACTTTTAACAACACAAATTTACAGTGATGAAAGATGAACCTAAAGCTGCAGACTTTACAGGTGAGTGCAGAGAGAGGGAGCACCAGAAGAGGGCGCTGTTTACTTTGGTTTTAGACCTAATTTGTAACAAGATAAAAAGACAAAAACATATTTCAACTGTCAAAATATTTCTTTGCATTAATTACATAAGCATTGTTTACAAAACAGAGACCAACTAAATGAAAGCAGCTGTAAGTCCTAAAGTAGTGGAGAAACAGAACACTTATCCATGGATTCAGAACAATAACAAATTAGGACCGTACTGAAAGGGCACTAAACCAGATCTAAACCAGGATTTTAGTAGGTCTAAAGGTGTGTCCACACTTAATTTGGCCTTTATTCTAGCCTTGTTAAGTCCTAATGTAAACTTGGTTAGATCCTGTTCCGGGTTCCTCCAAAACTGGACTAGACTGACAACTAAACCAGAACTAAACCAGATCTAAACCAGGACTAAACAATGGCAAAAACAAGAATATATTAGGTCAAAATCAAGACTAAGCCAGGACCATACCGAGAGGGCACAAATCCAGATTTAAACCAGGATTTTATTAGGTCTAAAGGTGTGTTCACACTTAATTTGGCCTTTATTTTAGCCTTGTTAAGTCCTAATGTAAACTTGGTTAGATCCTGTTCTGGGTTCCTCCAAAAACTGGACTAGAATAACACTAAACCAGGACTAAACAGTGACAAAAACATGAATATATTAGGTCAAAATTAAAACTAATCCAGGACTATACTGAAAGAGCACAAAACCAGATCTAAACCAGGATTTTAGTAGGTCTAAAGGTGCGTTCACACTTAATTTGACCTTTATTCTAACCTTGTTAAGTCCTAATGTAAACTTGGTTAGATCCTGTTCTGGGTTCCTCCAAAAACTGGACTAGACTAACACAAAACCAGGACTAAACCAGGTCTAAACCCGGACTAAACAATGACAAAAACAACAATATATTAGGTCAAAATTAGAACTAATCCAGGACTATACTGAAAAGGAACTAAACCAGATCTAAAAAAAGGATTTTAGTAGACATAAAGGTGTGTTCACATTTAATTTAAATTGGCATTTAAACACATTTAAATTGGCTTTTCGTAAGTCCTAATGTGAAGGGCACAAAACCAGATCTAAAGCAGGACAAATCAATGACAAAAAACATGAATATATTAGGTCAAAATTAGGACAAAGCCAGGACCATACTACAAGGGCACAGATCCAAACCAGGACTATATTAGGTCTTAGTTACTCAGGACTGAAGCGGGTCTAAAAGCAGGTCTTAAACAGGACTTGAGTGCACCTAAAATACTCGTGTATCTAATCTCCTGTTGTCCGTGTCTCCAGCCTGGATGAGGACGTGGGGGGTCTGTTCCTGCGCGGCTCTCCCTGCTCGGGCCTCTGTTCTGGGGGTAACTCTCCTCTCAGGGCTGGCCTCTCCGGGTTCTCCGGCCCGAGGGACTCTGGGTACTCCGGGTCGCTGCACAGAAAGATCACAGTTTTAGACCGACTCATCCGGACTCACTCGGTCTGGCTGCAGCTCGGACTCAACCAGCAGGGGGCGCTCAGGATACTCAAGAACCAGCCTCCAGGGGTGAGAGACTGTACTCAGGGTTAAGTTTAAACTGTGTAACCCAAATAATGGACACTTTAAAGATCCTTTACCAGATTTTTCTTGTGTATTTGGGCAAAATGTATCTTGCCTCAGTGTAAAAGGAGCTATTTAAATGTGTTATTCCTTTTTCAAGTAGCTGTATGTCAAATTTTGATTATACGTTTCATAAACTTCAACTTTCAAATCAATATATTTAATTATTTTATTTGTTGTTATTATGATTTTTGTTCAGACGTTCCTGGTTCGTCGGTCGAGCTCTCAGCAGAGGAAGGTGCTGTGTGTGAGGATGGACTCAGACTCAGATCCTGTCCAAGATTTCGCTGTGAAAGAAAGCCAGTACTGTGAGTAAACAAGGACTGAACCAGGGACTAAACCAGGGGCTAAATCAGGACTAAACCAGGGACTAAACCAGGGTCCAGACCTACACTAACCAGCTCTAAACTAGGATCTAAACCAGGTCTACTCCAGGGCTAAACCAGTGCTAAACCAGACTTAAACTAGGACTAAACCAGGACTAAGCCAGGGTTAAACCAAGGCAATACCAGTATGAAGCCATGACCGGAGCATTAATTGCTCCTTAATCTGGACCAATATCTAAACAACAACTAAAGACGGGCTGTACAACGTTTGAACTACATCTTAACTAGATCTCATCCATGTCTAAACCAGCACAAAACCTGGACTAAATCAGAACTACATTGGGCCAGATTAGGAATGAATCCCGATAACACCAGGACTACACCAGTGCTTTTTACTCTCTGATTTGGAGAGCAATGCCATCTTCATTTTGTTTATTAGCATTAAGAGTAGCTAGAGTAAATATCTAACCTTTGATTGACTGAAGACTTACAGTGGAATTAGTTGCACAATTTGGTAACGGTTGAAATAACTGCTAACCTAAACATCATGACTAATTTTCATAGTAAATTCAGTGGAAAGATGTATGAGGATGTGAGTAATTTACCTGGCAAACCTCACCAACCTCACCCAGACCTGTCGAGACATAAACTGCACGCCACCAGTGAAGTGAATCTGAACATTTGCCATTTGTTTTGTATCTTAACTGAATTCAGAAGAGCAGAAGATTGACATCTTGAGCTCAAGTGGTTTTAGAAATGTATGTATCCAACAGACAGTGATGGGAACTAACTGAATACAAGTATTTAGGATACATAGCCTATTCAGAATACCCATTTTGAGTAAATATTTTGGTACAGTTATGCCTGGTGTACACTGACTGCTGGTGTGGTGCAGTTCGGGATACGCACGGGACCGGCAAGACTTAGAGAATCCTTAAAATCAGTAGCACCCTGCCACACTGACCTTGTTGCGGTGCAGGTGCAGGTGAGGGTGAGGGTGCAGGTGGGGCGTGGGCCTGTGGAAAGATTACTCAAGAAGTCTATTTTTGTTGGATACCTCAGCGGTTTCTGAATGTCAAGATGACACAATCACATCAGCAAAACAGGACGTGCACAACTGACAGATCTGGTGTATTTTCAGAATAAAATATCCCTGGTACTTCTCAAACGTACTTACCCATTGATAGCCACGGTATCCAAAAGTACAAGGAAGTGGAATCCAAAGATGTGAAAAAGTGGTCGTAGAGTGAAATGCCGCTGTCGTTTTTCAGCCAGGCTTCTTGTACACATTAATCATACTTCTGTGATGTTAATCTATTGCGTGAACTCCCGACCAGAGTGTGAACATTTTTTCTCTGGAGCGCAGTTTCCACACTCGGCCACAGCCCAAAGCGACGACACAGCAGCGGAGAGTGCAGTCAGTGGGGCAGACAAGTCACAGTAAAACAGTCAGTGGACACCGGGTTACACTTTCATTTGGAAGTTTTCAGAATGCACTGACTTTTATAAAATCAAAGGAACACATGGCAGTATTTGATCACACAATGTAGACTTTAGATTGCACAAAACTAGCGAGAAACATATGAACACTGCTTTTGTGGTGGGTGCAGGTGTGATTTAATTAATGACGGGAAATGCAGAACAAATGCTGAAACAAATATAAAGCTGTTTTTAATACAAAGTTGCATTTTTGCTTTATAACTTAAATGCAACTTGATGTAAATTTTTTCTAAGTATCCAGAATACAGTACTCTGTTTGGACCATGTAAAAAACTACATTACAAAATACATTTGATTGCAGGTATTAAGTTTTCTGTCACTAAATACATTTTCAAAGTATTCTTTCCATCGACTGATATTCAAAACTTTATCACCCAGCCCTTCTTATTTGTCCCAAAGCAGCCCCCATACATCCTGACGTCTTTCTGTTTACATTTAATACACACTTGTCACACGCTCACTTTCATTCTCTGTGTAAACTCTTCACTGGGTCACCTGTCTTTCTGCATGTTCAGAGTTAAATTTGCCCCAAGCGTTTATTTTGATTGTGCTCATATTGTGTTCATTTGGGAAGTGAAATTACAGGTTGCATTGGGAAAAGTGGTTGGACTCACAGCCAAAAGCTGATGCAATTTTTCCAATAAATCTGACAAGTAATGAGGATCTTTCTAAACAGCGGTGGCATGTTTTGCTGCAAAGTCTTGGCTGTTTATTGATACTTTGCAGAGACATCACGCTGAGGTTGTACTACATGTATTTCTATGGGGAAATGTTCATAAGTTACCATGGTGACACAAACTCATCCTCAACAAAAAGACTGAGACCCCGTTTACACTGAAACGAATCCGCGTATCACTGTATTTGAAACGATGTGCGTCCTCACACGTCGTTTCTGTGTCCAGAAGTCTTCCTTATCCACACAGCTTTGAGCATATGTGTTTAGGTTTTACAGAAACAAAACTTAAAACCACATTTGCATAAACTAAGTGCTCAAAAAACAGCTCGCTGTTGTGTGCTGATGCAGTTCAGCTTCTGTCGGAGTAAACGACACTACTCAGTGTTCTTTCTGTGACAGAGGGTGTTCTGCTGATGGTGAGTCTGTTCTGTGTTTCTGTCGTGTTGGAGGTGGTTCATGCGAAACTTTTCAGAGATTATACGTCTGCAGGTCATACGCATAGACCGTATATATGAATGGACATATATTCTAGCCTCTTAGCATTTTAGTGGTGAATTACTTCGTGGCATATAGACCTACATCAGCGAATCAGTGTTGTCAGGCATCCACACAGTGCCGGATCAGATCCATACTTAGATGAATTTGTGGGAGCTGGCGACACCAGGTTGTTTCGTATCTGGTGCCATTTTCAATCGGATTAGTGTGGACGAACACTGCACCCAGAACAAAAACGATTCAAATACGTACTAGTGTGGACGTGGCCTGAGTCTGAAGGCTGCCACACACTACAGGAGAATTTGTTTGATTCAGGCTGAGATTTGCTTCTCTTCGAGTTTGGTGATGCGTGACCCAATTTTAGTGTCTTCGCATATGATTTTGAAACCACTCTGCTCCTCATGTGTTTTTTTTTTTTTCAGTGTGACTCTGAGCTGCTCTATCAGATCATAACCACCAAACATCAGCAACACTACGGTAACAGCCAATAAAACAGAGCAGAGAGACGTGTGTCAGTAAGGCATAATTATATAAATGCACATGTACAAGTCAAAATAAAAAATATTTCACACAGCTAAAAATCTAAGACAAAAAGAAAAAAAAAATGAACATGGATTTAAACATCCCAGTTTCAGGAGCCTGTGTTCATGGTTCTGTTTAGGAATTAGATTTTCAACAAAAAGTTGAAAGTGACTAAATGGAAAACAGCTGGCTTATACTAAATAGGTTGTGACTAATGTTCTGTGCGAGACTTGTTTAACGGCACAAATCAGCTCGTCTGTTGTAGTTCCAGTTGTACAGCTGTGTGTATAATGACGTATCAAACACTTTAATTTTTATTTTTTTTCATGTTTCAATAAATGCGGGGACCACTGTGCCATTTTATTGTTGGTTAAAATTCTAATGATTAAAGTTCTTCTTATTTGTTTCACAGCCTTTTCTCTGGAGGGATCCGGACTCAGTTTTGCAGATCTGTTTCGTCTGGTGGCGTTCTGTTGCATCAGCAGGTGAGTGGAGACTGGGGGGGGCCGTACTGTACTATTTTCTGAGTTGTGTTTTGTTTCATTCACACATGTTTAACACACAAATCCTGCAGATTTAGGCTGAGTTCTTGCGTTCCAACTGAAAACACTCTGTTCTACCTTGTGATGTCATGGTAATACAGGAAGCGCTCCATTGTCTTTTTAAACTCCACACACCTTTACTAGAATCATTTGGATGATTTCAGCATTGAAATTACCAATCTCTACTGAAGAAAAGGTAAAAGGAGCTGTCAACTTGAAAGCTACAACTACAGAACATTTTGAGCTTTGGAGATATAGACAGACTAATAATAAAGAGTTACTCAAACATGTGTGAATGAAGTAAAACACAAATCCAGGTCTGTTTATTGAGGAGGTAACAACTAGAGGTCTGCGCGGGACAGAATTTTCAATCCCGCTCCTGCGTTCACCCACATTGTGCAGTCCCACTCCCGCCCACGCCTGCAAAGAATTGTAATTTTCTGTCCCGCTCCTGCCCAAATTTGCGATATTTTGTCCCGCTCCCGCAAGCAAATCCTACAAGATGGGGACGTTTGCTTTCTTAAGCTCTAAAAGGAAAGGAATTGTCTAAAATGTGCATGAGATTAGACCACATCTGCAAGTTTAGGCTGTTTAAAATGTTTTTATTAATGCCAAATACAATATCCAGCACAAATGATGGATGATAGGCTTACATTAATTATTTGTATATTTTATTTTAGACTCATATTTAGTTTGCAGGACTGCAGTTTATCATCTCACCCGCCCGCTCCTTCATTCTGCAGTCCCCCTCCCGCCTGCGCCCGCAATGAGCTTTCAAAATGTGTCCTGTACCAACCGCACTGTTTTGCATCAAGTCCCACAGGTGCAGGGCTCTAGTAACAACATTCTAACATGACTTAAATCTCACAAGAGTTCATTTTTTTGTAATATAAGACCTTTAACCTCATGTTAAATAATTAATATTAAATAATTAAATGAATAAATAAACCGTTTTAAAAAAATTTAAATGATGAAGAAATCACGTGTCAGTCACCACCACACCAGTGAAGAAATGAAATTAAAGTAACATTGCGTAACTATCTGCCTACACGATTCCTTGGAAACAGAAAATTGAAACCATACTTCAGAACATTCTTCATGGAGATAGAAACGTTTTATTCCATACTGTGGAAGATAATAGACAAAGGAACAACATTTCCCTGCACCAAATGGAGTAAGGTTTGTGGAGATGCAAGCGCGCTCACAGTAAGGACGCATGTTTTTCTGTGGTATAATTAGTGGAATAAAAACCTGCTTTTATTCAGAAATGTTGGAGAAATTGGAGAAATATCTAACTGCAATTATTCTGACAAACATTGTGATTAGAAAGTGATTAGATTAGTTATGCGTTTCATGTTTTAATAATAAGATTCTGTTCAAATTTCACATTTTAAACACATCCAGAAGAATCGACAAAAAGACAATACATGTACAATATATTAAACCCAAAAGCATACATGTGTTACCGTTAGCGGCAGAAACACTTGCAATGTCCGTGTGCTAAATCAGGACTTCATTTTATTAAGATGAGAAACGCCAGATGAGAGAAAGAAGAGAAAAGGTGAAGAGCTGCAGCTGGATCAGAGAGGGAGGGAGAGCCCGGCAGACAGCACCGTGCACACAGACGCACACACAGACGCACACATATACACACTAGGGATGCACACTGGTGTCACGATTCGATATACGTGTTGCTCGATACACACGTGTCCGTCCATGCGCTCTGTGTTGTCATTTATTTTGGTCTGACAGGGAAACAGCTCTCACAGCTTCCTCCTCAGATGCAGCAGAAAACAGCTCCATAGAGACTCACAGCTGAAATATTCTCACAGAGGAGGGTTTGATCTTTCAGGCAGTTATATGTTCATAGACCCAGAAATGACAAAGATATGAACTTTAAAATACTTTAGAATCACTTTTGGATTTACATCGGTTTTAATCAAATGCGCTCGAATACACGCTATCTTTTTTTCAGACTGTCGCATGAGTTTTAGTCAGAAAATGATCATTTTTCTGTAATAGAAGATAGTCTGAGTGTCCAGAAATAGGATGGGAGTGTGCAGTGTGTCTGTAAGAGCAGAGACTGTTGCAGGGCCGTGTGGGAGGAGCTACGTACTGTCTCTGCTGCTGCTGGAGGAGGCAGCAGCGCCAACAAAGACATGTACAGTGAGACTCAGGAGATCATCAAATCATCATCAAAAAAGTAAAAGTCTGAAAGTGTAACTCCCCTACAGTCTATATTAAGAGTAGACTGGCTCTATTATCAAATATAAAAATAGCCTGAGAAAACTCTAGTCTTATTTTTGCTGAATAAAAATTCTGAGCTGTAAATCACTGAACCAAATGAACTAAACACTTCACATTGTTGTCATATTGCTTCATTAACATCATCATAGTTAGGGGTGTGCAAAAATATCAAAATATTGATATATCGAATCGCTTAATGTGATGATACATAAACAGTATCGTGGGCTGCTTTATCGAAATATCACCAAGAGTATTTTTTGTATATTTTACAAAATTATTTTGTTACAGCTACAGTTTTTTTGTTTGTTCAGAGGAAGGAAACTCGTTTATGCGACACATTTGACATTTTCAGTGTTTTGATGATTAAAATGTTTGTGTTTCATCTGAACTTTGCATAAGAAGTGGATTAACAAAGACTTTTAGTATCACAGCCATGACTTAACCTTTATTTTTATTGAACTGTATCATATCACTTTGAAATATATTATATTGAATCAAAAGCTCACTTTATAGAGATGTTTATTGTATCGTGGTCTATGTATCGAGGTATATATCGTATCGGAAACTTCTTAATGATACCCAGCCCTAATCATAGTATTATTATATTATACTCATGAGCTTTTTTTTGTGTGTGTCATAAAACGTATCGAAATCAAATCGATACCGTGACCCGTGTATTGAGATATGTATTGAATTGTGGGAAAACGGTATCGCACACAGACACACACAAACACATGCAGACTAGGGATGGACATGATTAGTCGATTAATCGATAATTGATCATTAAGAATTTCGATTACGTTAATTTTAATCGACAAACCAAATGTAGGTTACTGTGTGTAGCGTGACCAAACAGGTGTGTACATGTGTCTCTGCATCAGAAGGAGCGAGCAAACACAAACAGTCAGTGCGCCTGCAGCGTACCTAAGTGCATATGTGTATTTAACGAAGATTTGTACAAGAAATTCCACGCTTTCCGTTCTGTTCAGGACAAGTGTGAGTCCATGTGCACAGTGTACAAAGCAGCACATATGTTTCGGTGTCCAGTGGGAAAAAGTTTTTCCAGGTGAGAGTCGCGCAATGTCGATGACGAGTCCCCACCCCCCTCCCCCCGTACGGTGTCCTGGTTTTGACAAACACAAATCTGGTCACACTAACCTGTATTGACCTGAGTCATGTCTTTAATCTGACAGAAGTTGAACCACATCAGCGACACAAGAGCTGTAGTTTTATCTTTGCGTAGTTTATGCAAATTACCGATGCGGTTTTAAGTTTAGTTTCTGTGAGAGTTGAACAAAACTGAATTAAACACATTATAATGTGAAACGGGCTGATGTGGCTCTAGAGTCGTTACAGTTTATATGTCGTAAAGTTGAATTTATTTATGCAGATTAGTAGTGCAAATAGTAATAATAATGATGATCATTTTAATATAAAAACGTTAATGATTAATCGATAATCGATCATTAATTCTTCCGACGATCGATTAAGAAAATTTCATCGAATGCCCATCCCTAATGCACACACACACACACACACGTACACGCGCACACACACACACACACAATGCGCACACACAGACACACACAGACACACAGATGCAGAAGGAGAGGGACACTGCGCTTTTAGTCAAATTGTGCAGAAGTGAAATGCGATGACATGTGACTAAACAAAGAGAAGCGCTGTGGCTCAAACTGCTTTTTCCTAAACCAAACAATAAATCCTCGTCAGTCGTATCCTTGAGGTCGACCAAAGTTGAGATTGTCTTCTATTGATCTTTAGATTTTTGGCACAGTCTTAATCTGAAGTGACAAATGAAGCACATTTCAGAGCATGTTTGGACACATTTATAAGATTATACAGGGTTATTGTTTTGGCACTTTTCCATTCAAATTGCAATTTCAGTTTGATTGCGTTTGATGCATCTTGCAGCCCTGCTTTTATTTTCCTTTTTTTTTTTTTTTTTTACTTAAAGGTTACGTAGTGTGGCTTTAACATAGAGCAGTTGCATTGGTAAAACCCTGATGCAGACACACCTCCTGCGGTCACGTCTGCTCTGCCAACTTCACCCTTTTCTCTGAGTCATCAACACACAAAACACTCTCTCTCTTCACTCTCTCCTTTACCTCCCTCTCTCCGCTCTTCTCTATACCTTCTGCCCTCCTTCCTCGTTCCTTCTCCTCTCTCTCTCTCTCCTCTCTTCTCTATAACTTCTTCTTTCTCTTCCTCCTTCACACTCTTTCTCGCATTTCCTTCTCCCCCTCGCTCTCTCTCTTCTCTATACCTTCTGCCCTCTCTTCCTCCTTCCCTTTCTCTCTTTCTCCCCTTTCCTTCCCCCCTCTCTCTCTTCTCTTCACATTCTGCCTTCTTTTCCTCCTTCCCTTTCCCTCTCTCCCCCTCTCTCCTCTCATCTGTATACCTTCTGCCTCCTTCCTTTTCCTTCCTTCCCTCTCTCTCCTCTCTTCTCTATACCTTCTTCCCTCTCTTCTGCCTTCTTTCTCTCTCTCTCTCTCCCTCTCTCCTCTCTCTGTATACCTTCTGCCCTCCTTCCTTTTCTCTCTCTTTCTCCCCTTTCCTTCTCCTCTCCCTCTCTCTCTTCTCTATAACTTCTTCTCTCTTCCTCCTTCACTCTCTCTTTCTCTCTCGCCTTTCCTTCTCCCCCTCGCTCTCTCTCTCTCTTCTCTTCTCTTCTCCTCTCTATACCTTCTGCCCTCTATTCCTCCTTCCCTTTCTCTCTTCTCCCCTTTCCTTCCCCCCCCTCTCTCCTCTCTTCTCTATAACTTCTTCCCTCTCCCTCCTTCCCTCTCTTTCTCCCCTTTCCTTCTCCCCCTCTCTCCCTCTCTCTCCCTCTCTTCTCTATACCTTCTGCCCTTTCTTCCTCCTTCCTTCTCTCTCTTTCTCCTCTTTCTTTCTCCCTCTGTCTCTCTCCTCTTCTCATACCTTCTGCTCACTCTTCCTCCTTCCCTCTCTCTCTTTCTCCCATTTCCTTCCTCCCCCCCTCTCTCTCTTCTCTATAACTTCTTCCCTCTCTTCTTCCTTCCCTCTCTCTCTCCCTCTCTCCTCTCTTCTCCACCTTCTGCCCTCTCTTCCTTCTTCCTTCTCTCTCTTCTCCCCTCTCTCTCTCTCTCTCTCTCTCTCTCTCCTCTCTCTCTCTCTCTCTCTCTTCCTCTCTCCCTCTCCCCTCTCTCCCCTTTCCTTCTCTCTTTCTCTCTCCCTCTGCCCTCTCTTCTCTATACCTTCTTCCCTCTCTTCCTCCTTCCCTCTCTCTCTTTCTCACCTTTCTTCCCCTCCTCGCTCTCTCTCGCTCCCCTCTTCTCTATACCTTCTTCCCTCTCCCTCCTTCCCTCTCTTCTCTATACCTTCTTTCTTTCCTCTCTTCCTCCTTCCCTCCCTTTCTTTCTCCTCTTTCCTTCTACCTCTCTCTCTCTCTCTCTGCTCTCTCCTCCACTTCTCCCAAGTCTCTCTCTTTCCACTCTTCCTCTCTTTCTTTGTTCTCACCCCCCCTCTCTCTCCCGCTCTCCTCTCTTCCTTCATCTACTTTTTTCCCTCTTCTTTCTCTCTGTCTCCCTCTTTCTTTCCTCCCCCTTTCCCCCCATAAACACACTGTAAATGACACGACACTCAAATGTAACGGAAAAAATGTTTTTACAGACGCAATTAAAGTCTTTCTCTCTCTCTCTCTCTCTCTCTTTCCTCTTTTTCTCTCTCTCACATACTCTCTCTCTTCTCTCTCCCCTCTTTCTCCTCTTCCTGTCTATCTCTCTCCCTTTTCTCTTCTAACACCTTTCTCTCATCTCTCTCTCTCTCTCCCTCTACCTTCCTCTCTATCATATCTCTTGCACTTTATCCCTCTCTCTTCTCTCTCTTCTCTCTCTCCTTCTATCTACTCCCACTCTTTCTCTCTCCCGCCCTCCTCTGTTTCGCCCTCTCTCACTCACACTCTCTCTTCTCTTCTCTCTCTTTCCCTCTGCCCTCTTTTTTCTCTTCATTCTCCCCTTTACACTGCTCCCCCTCACTCTCTCTCCCTCCCTCCTTCGTCTTACTCCCTCCTTTCTGACCCCACCCTCCCTTCTCTTTTGCTGAACCATCTCTCTCTCTCCCTTGTCTCTACCCCGCTTTCTCTCTTTTCTCTCTCTCTTTTCCTCTGCCTTTCATTTTATCATATCCCTCGCATTTTCTCTCCTCTCTCATTCTACCCCCACTTTTTCTCTCTCCAGCCCACCTCTGTTTCTCTCTCTCTCTCTTCTGCCCTCTTTTAGGCTCTTTTCTTCTCCCGAACAATCTCTCTCCCCCTTTTTCCTTTCATCTCTCTCTCTCTCTCTCTCTTCCTCCCTCTCTTTCGTATCCCTTGCACTTTATCCCCTCTTCTCTCTCTCCCTCTATCTGCCCCCACTCTTTCTCTCTCCCACCCTCCTCTCTGCCACCACTCCCTTCTTAATCTCTTTTTCTGTTTTTCCTTCACCTCTGCCTCTTTTCTCTCTCTTTCCCACCTCCCCTCCTTTTCTCTTTTGTAACCCATCCTCCCTCTTTTCTCTCTTTCCTATATCCCTCTTTCCCCTTAACCTCTCTTTCTTTCTCTCTCTTCCCCATCTCTTTTCCTCTACCCCCCTCTCTACTCCCTCCCTCTCTCCTGCTCTCTACCTTCTCTATTCTCTCTCTTTCCTCTCTCTGCACCCCCGTCCCTCCCTGTCCCCTCCCTCTCTCCCTCCTTCTTTAACCATCTTTTTTCTCTCTCTTTCTTCCAGAGACGTTTTGCCGTTCACGCTCAAACTCCCGGAGCCCATCGTCTCCGCTCAGACGGTTGCAGACCTCCACCAAATCTCCAAACAAGGACCAGGTACGTAACTTTTAACGGAACATTTAAAGCTGCACTGCGGAACTTTTCTGGAGTACGAAACCTTCTATTCACCCTGGAGATCTTACTGTTTTGCTTTCCACAAAATGACATAAAACTTTTCTACAGAGGAGGGTAGTACTCTGTGTTGCCTTTACTTGAGTGACTTTTTAAAGATATTGTACTTTCCTAGCAACATACTTTTACTCCTATTTGAGTATTTTTATTGAAGTAACAGTACTATTATTTGAGTAAAAGTTCTCCTTCCCACTGTGAGCAAGTCTAAAGTGACAAATGTTTTATGTGACAATCTGAAATGATCTGAACATTTGTGTTTCTTTGCGCCGCTCCTTCACATCTGATTTAGTTTGTCTCATTTTTGTGTCTTTGAAAACATCAGATTTTTTTTAACTTATTTCATGTTGTCTGTCAAATTATATTCACTTCAAATTCAAAATCAGATGTTACGTCCCGAGTCCGTCAATCACTCTTTAAATTATTGTTGTAGTACTTTTCTTTTTTACTCTTCTTAAAGGTCATTGCTCTGCCTGGAATGTTCCACAGTGTGAAATTAAACAGCTCTACTTTACTTTTATTCAATCACAGATGATTTCATAGCTCAAAAATACCTAGAAAAACAGATATTCTGACTGTGAGCGGGGTCGCCTCTCCACAGATCTGACCTGTCACTTGGTTTGGTTTGGACTCCATGATGATAGAAAGGTTTATGGTGCGTGTGTTTATCTCGGACAGTGGAACTCGGAAGAACTCGGAAGAACTCAGAGGAGTCCAAGCAAGGGTTCCGAGGTAGAATCCAAGACGGCTGCGCCCAGTGTCACTTTTAAATGTGAACTGTTTTCATTTTGTTTGGATGATTTGGTGGTTTAAATGACAATTTCAGTCACTCATATTACTGCAATACCTCGGTATCACTGCCTATGTGGATGGTAGTACTACTGCAATACCTTACTGCGTCTGTATCACTGCCTGTGGATTTGGTTGTCGGTGTTGTCCATGTTTTTAGCCCATTTCCTGTGAGCTTATGTGCCAAAATGATCAACTATGACACAACACCAACACTTTCACTTCACTAATATACTGAATTATGCTATTTATACTGAATTATACTGTTTATATTGAATTATACTATTTATACTGAGTTCTTCCTCGTGGTTGTGTAGTTGAAGCACAGACTTATTTTGGAGCACCTGGTACATGACCAATGCTAAAGCAACAACAACTTTCCCGTTTAGGGTCCAAGTTTTTCTCCGAGTCGGACAAATGAAACATAATAAATCAGTTGAAGCGCGGATGTGACGTCATATCCTCGAACCAAGTGGGAAACGGACGGAATAAACAAACCATCATGGAACTGTGGCACATTCTAGAAAAGGCAATAACATCTTCATGAGCAAAAACATTTGACGTACTCTACACAAGAAAATGACACAATGCACCTTTAATTTACTTTGTATTTTCTTGGACCACTACTTTACACTGTTACTTGAGGGATATTAAAATGTTGCTCTTACTTGAGTACAGCTTTTGGCTACTCTACTACCTCTGCTTACCTGTAACCATAGAGACACTTTACCAAACCAAATAATTTTAGCCACAAAAACACTGGAACTGAACAGAACTGAAGAAATGCAAGATAAACACTGTAGTAATACTGTCGATAGTAACTTTTTCTGTTGGAGGGTCCATCAGAGGCTTTTCTCCGTTGATTGAGATGTTATTGCTTTATCTCAGATGTTCCACAGTATGGCGTTAAACCTTTCTATTTTCATGGAAACCAAACCAGACCAAGTGACAGGTCAGATCTGTGGAGAGGCGACTCTGCTCACAGTCAGAATGTCTTCTTTTTAGGTATTTTTGAGCCATAAAACCACCTGTAATTGAATAAATGTAAAGTAGAGCTGTTTAATGTCATACTGTGTCCAGGCAGAGCAACGACATCTCCACGATGGACTGGACTTACGTAAGGCTGGGGTTTGTGTGCAGTGTTGTTATGGGAGTAAGTTGTGTCTATGCTAATTGTACCTTATCATTGGATAAATGTGTGTATAGTGTAATTAAAAGTAATTACATCAGTCTTTTGCATACGTTTGTGCGTCAGTAGAAGCTTTACTCGTACAGTTAAAGCTACACTAAAGCATTTAAAGCATTTAGCAGTTAAAGCATATAGATCACATTTGAGCTGCGACTTTTCTTCTCTGTTGTCAGAAATAATATTTGTGTAATTTTGTTTTAAAATGGTGAAGAAGTTGGCGACAGTGAGTGTTTCTTAAAGCTGTTTGGTTAATACTGTAGCTCATTTCAGGTGGAGTTCACTCTGGCAGAAAATCTGATGTAAAAACTGGGACTAGACCAAGACTAGACCAAGACTAGACCAAGACTACCAAGGCTGGACCAGGACTAGACCAGGACTAAAGAGGGACTATAGAGGGACTAGACTGGGACTAGATCTGGATAAACCCAGGACTAGACAGGACTAGGCAAAGGCTAAACCAGGACTAGGCCAGGACTAGGTCAGGATTAGACAAATGCTAGACCAGGACTAAGGAGGGACTAGACTGGGACTAGACCTGGACTGAACGGGGACTAGACTGAGACTAGACCTGTATTAAACTAGGACTAGATCAGGACTAGACCTGGAATAAACGGGACTAGACCAGGACTAGACAAACACTAAACCATGAGTAGACCAGGACTAAACCAGGATTAGACAAAGGCTAAACCAGGACTAAGGAGGGACTAGACTGGGACTAGATCTGGACTAAACCGGGACTAGACTGAGACTGGACCCGAAATAAACAAGGACTAGATCAGTACTAGTTAAAGCCTAAACAAGGACTAGACCAGGATTAGACCAGAATTATACAAAGGCTAGTCCAGGAGTACTCCAGGACTAGACCAGGACTAGACAAGAACCGGACCAGGACTAGACCAGAACCGGACCAGGACCAAACCATGTTAACACAACCTCAGTTACTTTCATATAACTAGTTGTTTTCTATGTAAACCTGTATTTTATTTGAAAGTTAATAGAACCATTAAAGTTGCACTATGTAACCTTTCTGGTGGCCTGTCTACCTGTACCACCTTCTTGTCTCCATGGAGATGCTATTGCTTTGCCTGGAATGCTCCACAGTGGCATTAAACTGATCTGTTTTGCATTTGCTCAATTACAGCTGTTTCAGAGCTGAAAACACTTTGGTAAACATGCATTTTTACTCTCCTCTCCACAGATCTGACTTTGAACTTGGCCTGGTCTTGACTGTTTAATGCCACACTCTGGAACATTCTAGGCAAAGCATTAACATCTCCAAGGAGAAAAGCATTTAGCAGACACTTCATCAGAAAAGTTGCATAGTGAATCTTTACACATTTTTGTAGTAATTTGAAATATTATGAGAGAATACTTTAGTTTCAAGTCTAACTGTATGTAGTAGTATTTATGAGTGTGTATTATTGTCTGGTAGAAGACATCGGAGAATCTTTGCTGTAGTTGCACATGTGGCGTTCCTCTGTGGTTTCAGGACTAAATCTGTCTAAATAAGCATTCTTTTTTCTGCCTGTTTAACACATTTAGTGGTGGTCAGAGTCAGCGCTCAGAGAAGCAGCTCAAATAGAAGCCAAGTCAAGTGTCATCTGGTTTAGGCTCTGAGTCACACAACTCCCCCACGCTTATTCCAACATATTTACACCATCAACCAGAGCGGCCAAAAGTATTGAAAATCACACATGAGTTGATACTAAAAATAATACCTGAACTTAGGGCTGGGCGATATGGAGCAAATAATATATCTTGATATATTTTGCTCTATCTCTATAAACAATATATGTCTCGATATGTGTACAGGACAAATAAACCCCCACAAACTACTGCAAAAACAAACAAGGTCTGTTTTTTATTGAAGTGCAAAGAGGCAGTTCATGTAGGAACAAAGTGTGACATTTAAAAAAAAAAAATCCCTATATGCAAAAACAATAATTTAACTGTAAAATAAACAAACAAATAATACATATTTCCTTCTTTCCATTCAAAAATAAAACAACTCATCTTAAGCTCATTTTTGCATTAACTCTGTAACAGTACGATAACCATGAGCTCCTTTAGCAGAGGAAGCTCTGAAGGTTCTTTATTTTAACAGATCCGTATTCCTCACCAGCAGTAAGGAGCTCTGAGGTTTCCCACAATCCACTGCAGATCAACCCCAAGGGTTCCAAACACTATTGTACAAGTTACACTGCAGCAAATTATTGATTAAAATCTTGTGCATAAATAAAATTTTCATTTCTAAACTTTACAACAAAAAGAAACATAACCACTCTAGAGTCACAACAGTCTGTTTGAGATTATAATGTGTTTAATTCAACTTTGGCACATTTGTTTACATTTTACAGAAACTAAACTTAAAACCACATGACTCATTTGCATAAACTATATGCGCTGTCTGGACTAAATGACATGACTCAGTGGAATATGAGTGTTCTCTCTTTGGCAGAGGAAGTGCTGCTAATGCTGAGTCTGTAAATGGTGGAAAAGGTTCCTGGTGCTAGAAGATTTTGGTTGGCGCCAACTTTTGACATTCACAGCGGGAGTGAGTAGTGAATGAGGCGACGCACGAGGGGAGGGGGAATAAAATCAAGGAAGCATAGCATCGATATATACAATATATCAGAATCCATTTTGTGTTTAAATATCTCAGTATATTTAATTTATTTAAAATATCGAGATATCACCCACCCCTGACTGAACTATAGTTTTAAGCAAGTATCAATACTGCAAAAAATCACTTTTACAGGACAAAATTTGAGCTTTTGTGAACAATTGAACAGTCATTTTGAGCTTACTCAGAACAAGTTATAAGATGTCATGGTAACATAAAGAAATCATATGAAAATGACCTTCCATTACTAAAAAAGCTGCCGTTGTATTTTCTTATTTTATTGTGGTATCGTAATTTTTTTCGTATTTAGTGTATTCCTTCGTATTG